TAGCTTCTATCCATCCTTCACCACATACCTTTCTCAAAGTAACAATATCCAATAGAGGGATCTATTTGAAAAAATGGATCAAATGGAGCACCGAAAGCTGCAGATTTTGAGTCAGTTCATAGGATCTCAATTTCTCAGAAAGTTTACCAAATTGCTACTCTCTCTTACTTTGTTTTCTTTCTTCTTTTCTCATTTATCCATCATCTCTATGCTCTACTCCTTCAACTTCTACTTCCATACTCTTCCTATCAAGTTATTAAGCCACAACATAGACAAGAACTGCATATTCCTCCTCTTGAATGGCCTCCTTGTTTTCCTTGCAAAATACTCGAGTTTAACCAGTTCTTCATCCAAGCATAATATTCCTGATGAGTATTTCAAAGGTTATAAAGATGTTCAACAGTCTGAGCCAATACCAGTGCAATTGTGGGAGAATGAAGTTGTGGTGGAGGCAGAAAATGGCAGAATAATTGAAGAGGTAGCAGAAAGAGAAACCGAAAAGTTTGTCCTGGAAGAAGAAGAGGAAACAAAAAACCGAGAAGGAGAAATTGTGAATTCGATCATGGGTGGAGAACAAAAAGAAGAAGATTATGATGAAAATGGAGATTTTTGTGAAGAAGACGTGAAAGAGATTGATGGTAGCTATGTCATACAAGAAGTTGAAGAAGAAGAGGAAGAAGAAGAAGAAGAAGAAGAAGAAATGGAGGAAGAAAATGGTTTGCTAAGTACAGAAGAACTAAACAAAAAATTTGATGAATTCATTAGAAAGATGAAGGAAGACCTGAGGATCGAAGCTCAACAGCAATTGATCATGGTTTAATGGATCATCTTGGAATGATTCCAAGAGATACATCAACAGTTTATAAGAGCAAAATTTTCTTCTCTCTTCTTATGTACCTAGAACTAGTGGCTTAAGCCTCTTGTAATATTATTTGTTTCTGTTTCCCTTCGTTTTTATTTTCAACTTTAGTTGATTTTCCCCTACCTTTGAAGGAAGAAAGCTGCAATTCTGTACTCAAATCTTCTTGGTCTCTCTTGATTTTCTCCTGCATTAGTAGAAATCTTTATCTTAATGGCTTGTTTTATGTTCATTATGATCTAAAATTTTTTCATGTTCTTATATAATTATAATAATCTGGGTATTGTGAATAATTTGATTCGGAATCTGATTGATTTCCAGCCAACCAATCAGAAACAACTAGAGGATTCAGAGGAATTAATGAGTTTGATATGTGTCATATATGGTTCTTGTATTTTATTAAGTCTTTTTCAATAATTATTTAAGAGTAAGGATTCAACTACATATAAATCTTATACTATATTCATTTAAGATCTTAACGTCATTCATTTCTTTATTTCTAATAGTTGAGATTTATTCAGTTTTTATTTTTTCATTTAAAGAGTTATGATAAATTTTAATTATTAAAAATAAAAAATGAGTGGTCAAGATTTTATATAAGTATAACATGCTAAATTTATATATAAATAAATTCTTACTTATTATTTAATAACTATATGGATTTTAAAGAGATAATATTTGATGAATTAATTCATTGTTTGAGGTTGATAAGACATTTGAGGCCCATATGAAAATCATAGGGATAGTGACTGGCTTGAATGTCAAACTAAAAGTGTAAAAGCATTGAAATAGATTAACTTAAGACAAAGATTAAATTGATTAATCAACTGTCTTGCAACATTTCAGTGCTTGGAAACTTTTCCTTGAAGATGGAACTTAGTTTGCAAAGAATAAGTCATGTATTGATTGTTTCGATTTTTATACTTAAGTTATATTTAGTGTATTTTAAATATTAATTTTACATTACCTTATATAAAAGTAATCTTTTTCGTTCTCTTTAAAAATATTGTGAAAAAAACTCACAAAAAAGAGGATTCCTCTTACAAGTCACAACCAAGAGATACCCAAAATTCCTATTCCTACATCCACATAATGAGGAGAGACTAATAAAGTTAAAGAGGTTTAGGAATATGCTTGCTGGTTTCAAGCATATATGTAGCAAAGAAATTCAGGTAAAAATATATACTTTGGGTTGTTTTAACCTACCCATATAACACATGTCACCACTATTCCTCTTTGATTTCTTGATCAATGTGGGGTTCACAAATTTCAATCGCTACTAGGCACCTCTTTTTGTCTCCATAAAAAAAGCTTGAAACTCTTCTCCCTCACCATTTTCAATATGCTTTTTTCATTACCAGAAATGAAAGCAATGATTCATACCTTCTATGGACAGGAATAAAATAACTCCTTTTTATCCATCTTATGAGATAAGCTTAAATTTTTTCAGTTAAGTTAAAAGGCAGACTATGTAAACTAGAATTAAAAAAAATTAAACATCATGAATGGACTCACAAGGAGCCCTATAATTAGGTTAATCATTAATAGCTAAAAGGCAGTTGTATTACAGAAAAAAAAAAGAAGGAAAAAAAGGGACATAAAACTTGTTTTTTAAAAGGTGAGAAGGACATAAGTTGTTGTCATTTACTTACATTGTACAATCACTTGAAGTGGCCTTACATGAGAATCCATCCGGCCTTTAAAGTTATGATGGGAAAAACTCTGGAGCTTTCATGTTAATCCTTCTCTGTCCAGCGTAGACTTGCATCACAAAAGACGGAGGGGCCCTCAGACCCTTCTCAGTCCTCATCAATATGAAATTAAAGATGTGAAAGATCCAAAAGGACCAAATTTATACCTATGATGGAGAACTTTACCTGCTTTTTACGTTAAAGTCATTATTTTGAGCCTAGGTATTCTCTGGTATGAAACAGAAGAGAACAGAAATCACTTGCAACAAATATGCAATATTAAAAAACAAGGACAGAAATGAACTCCAGCAAGCGCCTGATGATCGCGCGTCTCATTGAGGTCGGTGAGCTGTTAATCAAATTTGGAGATCAAATCTCCAATTATTAACATCTAACAACACTAACTTACTAATCATTGCCCTTATCCAAAAAAAAAAAGAAGAAGATAGATATGGGGTTTTGAAGGTGGTATGCTACAGAGTTAAAAATCTGAACTTGTCAATCAGGATCTTGGACAGAGGCTCTTAGTCTGCTGGATGGACTCATGTAAATTATTTTGGTTTGAATGCAACTTATCAGGGATGCATTTGGAAAAAGAAGGCAACAAGAGGTTAGATTATTTAAACCCCACTTGAATAATACAAGGCATGATCAATTGTGAGGTGGGGTATGAGAAAAAAAAAAAAAAACCACGATTACAAAATGGCCCACGAAAATTTGGACACATAGAAAAAGAGCAAAGCAAATGTGTACATGGATATCATGACATACCACTTATTTTATCTATTGAGAAAATATCTATACCAAAGATATGAATTGAAGAGATAAAAAGCAAGTCAATTACTCAATTATAAGGCCAAAAAGAAGGCTCCAACAATGTTCTTTCAGGTTTCAATGATTAACTGAAAATCAATAATTAATAGATATGAAAGAGAAGTATGTTACCTTGATTTCAGGCTCCAACCCTAGTTGCCAAAAATGTACAGAAGTACGTTGACATCTACCGAAAGCCCAAATCATACCTGCAGCGCAGGCTGCAGCCCTGGTAATATAATACGTCACATACATGATTGGGCTGACCTGATATTGAGCCTGATCTTTTTATTGCCATTCCTTGGGCTGGAGCTTTTACTCAGTCCACTTAAAATGGTCCAAACCAAAAGATGCTATTACTTTTTTACCCTTTTTCTTTTTGTAAGCCAGACCAGAAAGCAATGGAATCTTTGTTTATATGGGTATGTGGGACCCGCAATCAACTTTTTAAAATTTTTATGCGGTCCCCACATCGATTGGATCGTAGTAGGAGCACCTGATCATATGAATGAATGAATATGATGTTTCAGCGAATTAATATTTATTAATTTAATTTTTTTTAATGAATTATAATTTTAGAATTGGAGATTTAAATTCTAATTTTAAGATTGAGAGTGCATTTTATAATGAAATATATAGTTATTGGATCATGAAATTTAAGTGTTATTAATTTTAAAATTAAAATTAAAATTAAAATTAAAATTAAAATTTTAAATTTTTTATTATTAAACGGTTAATTCTTTACTGTAAAAAAATTAAATATGATGCTTCGAATTTTCGAGTAGCTACCAGCTACAACTTTGTGGGTTCATCTACTATAAACCAGAAAGAGTCGAGACTGTACAAATAATGGATGATCATCAATCAAAATGGCATTGTGGCTTCCATAATATATATAAAATAAAAAATAAAAAAAAGGG